CACGACAAGAAGGAGCTCAGGACCATCTGGCTCGAGGCTACGATGGTACAGCGTGCAATTCAGGAGGACGTACATGCGAAGCGACGCGTCATTCGGAGCAGATTCGAGAAGGTCAATAAGTTGTCGCAGAGAAGCATCACGACGTTGTTCGTCACCAATCTGAAGAAACTGGGACATTGACATGACGCTGAGGCTAGGCTCGATGTCTGATTCGTCGGGCTCATCAACAGGGTAGCAGGATAAGCAATCGGCGTCCAGATGGAGACGTCCAGACTTATAAGCAACCGAGTGGGAATACTCCTGTAGACGTAATGCCAAACGGCCAAGTCGTCCAGTGGGGGTCCTTCAGAGAAGAAAGCCAACACAGCGCGTGATAATCTGTGATGACACAGAAAGGGCTACCATACAAGTAAGGACGAGATTTCAAAACCGCCCAGACAAAGGCCAGACATTCCCATTCTCTTATAGAGTAATTGTGTTCAGACTTTGAAAGCAGACGGCTTGCATACGGGATTACACGGCCATTGCCCCACACAATTTGTGCCAAAACTGCACCAATTCTGTAACCACTCGCGTCTGTTTGCACTTTTGCAGGAGCATCGGGGTTGAAATGTGCAACAATAGGAGGTGTCATTAGAGCGGTGATTAGTTGAGAGAAGGCGTCAGTTTGAAGAGGGCCCCAACAAAATGGGACGTCTTGTTTGAGAAGGTCAGTGAGTTGCCGTGCGAGTGCCGCAAAACTTTTCACGAACCGGCGAAAGTAGGAGCAGAGGCCCATGAAACTGCGAACATCATGGACAGTGCGTGGGACTGGGTTACAGTGCGTACTTTCGCCGGGTCTGGTCGTACGCCGGCAGCATCAACAAGGTGACCCAACACGGTAATCTGACGAAGACCGAAGTGGCACTCGAAGGAATTGAGCTGCAGGCCAGCCCGTTGAAATATGGATAGAATGGTCGAAAGTCATTCAAGGTGGGTTGCGAAAGTAGGTGAGACGTCGTCCAGGTAACACAAAACATGTCGACCATTTCAATTCTTGTAGGAGCGTGTCCATCATTCTCTCGAAGGTCGCTGGAGCGTTGCAGAAACCGAAGGGCATGACCTTGAATTGGTAAAGACCGTCAGGGGTTACGAAGGCAGTCTTTTCTCGGTTCATGTCATCTACAGCGATTTGCCAGTAGCCAGATCGGAGGTCAAGAGATAAAAAGAAGGTGGCGCCATGGACGCAATCGAGGGCATCGTCAATGCGTGGTAGAGGGTACACGTCTTTTTCGGTAATTTTGTTGAGGTGGCGATAATCAACGCAGAAACGCCATGAGCCATCTTTCTTCTTTATTAATACCACGGGAGATGCCCAAGGGTTCGATGATAGTTCGATTACGTTTTTCGTAAGCATTTTGGCCACTTCTTTCTGAATCACTTCTTGTTCGGACGCTGACACGCGATACGGCCGACGGTGAATGGGCGCAGAGTCACCAGTGTTAATTCTGTGAGTGACAATTTAAGTCTGGCCCAAGAGACGATTGTCGGTGTCGAAAATGTCACTGTATGAGGCCAAAACCTGGCAGAGAGCGTCAGCCTGGTGAGGCGAAAGCTCCGATCCAATCATGTTTCGAAAAATAGCATAGTCTGAGCTGGGTAACTGTGAGACTGCGCTTCGATCAGGAGTAGATACAGCGACAACACTGATATCTTCCTCTGTTATGGCCGTTAACTGGGCTAGAGACATCTGACAGGGCAACACTTGAGGCGTGACATCAAAGTTAAGGAGCGGAAGTAACACACAGTTATCAGCTATAGTCGCAATGGTAAGAGGCACAGTAACACTGCGCGCAGCCGAACGTCAGTAATCGGCGTAACGATATAATCACCGTCAGGAACGGGATGATTGATTTGTGAGGTTTAACGTCCCAAAACCACCATATGATTATGAGAGACGCCGTAGTGGAGGGCTCCGGAAATTTTGACCCCCTGGAGTTCTTTAACGTGACCTAAATCTGAGTACACGGGCCTACAACTATTCCGCCTCCATCGGAAATGCAGCCGCCACGGCCGGGATTTGATCCCGCGACCTGCGGGTCAGCAGCAGAGTACCTTAGCCACTAGACCACCAAGGCGGGGCGTCAGGAATGGGAGGGGCCGATGACAAAGACACGAACGTGATGGTCGACTTGTACTTGGAGCAGGCTGTGGTGCATGGGAAGCGTCAGTAGAGGATTTTCAAACGTCATTGGTGTTGCATCTTCACCTCTATAAGCTGCAATATCTAGTTTTCCTGCTGCACTTGTCCAGAGAAGCTCGGCGAGGAAAAGCGCCGAGGTGGCGGAGAGCGGGATCGGCGACGTAGCGGCGACGGGGAGCGAAAGCTGTGGGGACCGGACGAAGGGGCGTCAGTGAATTGATTGATTTGTGGGGTTTAACATCCCAAAACCACCATTTGATTATGAGAGACGCCGTAGTGGAGGGCTCCGGAAATTTTGACCACCTGGAGTTCTTTAACGTGCACCCAAATCTGAGTACACGGGCCTACAACATTTCCGCCTCCATCGGAAATGCAGCCGCCGCAGGGCGTCAGTGAAAGGCTCGTAAGATGACGTCGAATAGAAATTGAAGGGTGCGGCGACTGAACGTCGAGGGGTTGTCGGGTGCATGTGCGCCGAGGTAGAGAAGGTCTGACGTGGTTGGTTTGACCAATGGCGGCGGCAATAGCAAGAAATGTGCCCAGGCTGGTGGCAGGAAAAACAAATAGGCCGGTCGTCGTGTGTTCGCCATTCCGAAGGGTTACGGAAGGGCATTGTTAAAGGTGAACAGCGAGCGTGTTCTGGGGAGTAAGACGGGACTTCAGGACGAGTCAAGGGACATGCTGATGGAAGGCTGAGGTTCGCAAACTCCTGCCTCACCACAGCTTGTATTAACGCCACTGACGGCTGTTGTTGGTCAGAGGCGAGCGTTGCAAAAACGGTTGGCTGAAGAGGTGCCGGACAGGCGGCTTCGATTTCCTGACGAACAATGCGCGTGACGTCATACGTGGGGGACTGGCGCGCGGCTTCACACGATGAGGTTGCGGCCGTGTTGGGCAGCCGGGTGAATCGCTGAGTAATACGGCAGCCCTTGGCTTCTTCGAACCGCGGGCACTCTTTAATGATGGCGTCGACGGTGGCAACGTTTTTGTATACTAGAAGAATAAAGGTGTCGTCTGCTATACCTTTCAGCACATGGGCCACTTTCTCAGACTCACTCATGTGTTCGTCAATCTGGTGGCATAGGGTGATGACGTCGTGAATGTACGCGAGGTACGACTCCGTCGACGTCTGTAAACGAGCCGCCAGTTGATTCCGCGCTGCGATTTACTGTCCAACGGTGCCGCCCCAAAAAAGGTCCCGGTCTTCTCTTTAAAGGAGTCCCAGCTTGTAATCTCTGCTTCGTGCATCTCGAACCACACCCGCGGTGGGCCATCGAGATAAAAAAGCAAATTGGCAAGCATAAGAGTCGGGTCCAACCTATAGCTTGTACTGACCCGTTCGTACTGGTTGATCCATTTGTCGACGTCAATGCCATCCTGACCGGAAAATACACCGAGATCACCAGCAGGAGATAAAACGACGTATGTAGAAGTCACAAAAGGGGCAGGTGGTGAAGACAATGGTTGTTCAACCTGTGACATGGTTGGACGTATGATGATGCGGCCGTAGCAGAGCTTCGTGATGAAGAGAGGGAAGTACCCCGCACCTCCACCACAAAGATGTTACAAAAAAATGACACGAGGCGTGTCTATTTAGAATCTATATTGAAACTGATGCGTATGGCATCGACCAAGATGGAGGACATCATGCACAACTGACAGACCACTACCTTGTTGTCGTCTTCTGCCCCTGATATGTCAGCTACGTAGCAATATTATGCTCATGATACTCTTGTGGCCGTTTCTAGCTTCACATATACCAAATATGATGTTACGTGGCGTCAGTGGATGACGAAGGTACATGACTGGTGCAAACATAATAATCATGACATGAAAGTCATCTAAGGCATATTTACGTCTGCCTCGTAACGTTGTGCTGATTTTAAAGTGACACATCAAGCTTCCTCATTCGTGCTTCGCATAGCACTTATTCCCACTGCACGTTCCCAAATTCCCAAAACCACCTCATGATTATGAGAGACGCTATAGTGGACAGCTCTGAAAATTTCGAGCACCTAGGGTTCTTTAACGTGCACCAAAATCTGAGCACACAGGCCTACAGCATTTTCCCCTCTATCGAAAATACAGCCGCCGCAGTGGTGATTCGATCCAGCAACCTGCGGGTCAGCAGCCAAGTACCTTTGCCACTAGACCCCCATGGCGGGGCAGAATTTAAGTGGAGACACAGACAGAACAAAAGAAGAAGTTGTTATATGTGGCTTGTCCCTACTTCTGGATTCTAAGCATACTGCATGCTATGTCATCAGACACTGTTTTGAAATGTTCTGAAGTCACTGGCATATTTGATACAAGTGATGGCACAGGGGATGACTATCTCTCAAAGCGTGTTGCTGAACCAAACTAAAGCAACAAGCTCGGCAATGGCAAGATTGAGATGGTGAATAGATGCCTTATGAGAACAACTGCAATAGCTCTTTTGGTACAAATGAACTACAGAGGTTACTCACAAATCGAATAATTACAGTGAAATGAATTGCCTCTACATTAGGGGTGCACTTCAACAAATGCTCGCACACATACAAAAAAAGGGAGCCTTTACAGAGCATTATATAGATAAATTTTCTGAAAAAGAAGCTGCATGTTGGCTCATTTCCTCACTCAACATGAATTTTTCTAATAAACCTAAAAATACTCTTTTTTTCCCTGTAGATTCGGTGCCTTTATATTGTGTTGCAATTGCTAATCAAATTACCACATTTCTGAGGTATCCATTTGCCTTACAGACTACTTGTACTCATGACTAATTATCAGTAATAGGTGAAAATAAAAAAAATATTATAAGGCAGGCCTGCCTTACCGATTTAATTGTTCTTGATCTTGAGTGGAGGTGATGAGGTGCAGAGCTCTTTGTAGGCTACCTTCCTTGCATGCGATAAACTTTAGAATCTTGAAGCAGTCCTGCTCCTGTCCCGGCTGCAAAAGTTTTAACATTCTGTTTAGGACCGCACGACAAATACTACTTTTTAACACAAAAGTTTTTTACGCCAGGGTCCACCACCGCTCTGCTGGCGTAATTCCATCATGGAAGTGACATTGAAAATGTATACTAAAAGATTGCAAAGAAAAACTCTGAAGATAACCATCTGTCGCACTAAATCGAACCGGCAACCTCTCGATTCCCAGGGCTCGTCGCTAACCACTATGCCACAAAGCATACGTTGCCAGGTATGCTAAGAGCAATGTCATTTATATACATTATAAACCGTTTGATAGTCCCAGAAGTCTGATATGCACGCGCGTGATATACACTCCAGGGAGACGACGACCTAAAAAGTGTCCCCAAGGCGAGCCTGTAGCACCATGCACCATCTTGCCACTGATAACAAAAACACGCTCAAGTTTTAAAGCTCTTGGGACTGTCATACAGTTTATGGTATATATATATATATATATATATATATATATATATATATATATATTCCTGCTCACGGCAAGTTATCTTTTCACCCGCTTTTCTTTCTTCACATTTACATTACAATTCGGCCTAATAACTTCCCCTATACTTTCCTTGGCATTATTGTCTGTTATATCTCATCAATATTGTGTGAAGCACAGAAAAACAATTCCTTAAGTATTTACTTCTTTCCCTATTCATTAAGGAAGGTCTCATACTGGCAGACTTGGTGCCTTTCGTTTGTATATGAGGAACTATTGGTCAGCTGCCAGCTCATAATAAGTTCACGTGCTACGTGACGCCAAACAGGCTGGCTACTGGTGGCGCTGACTAACACTTCCACATTTAAATTCACATATATACCCAATAATGTAGCTGGGAGGATGGCCGCAGTAGTAGCTCTGTGGTAGAGTATCGAACGCGTTATTCGAAGGTCGCAGGTTCGGTTCCTGCCCACGGCAAGTTATCTTTTCACCCACTTTTTTTTCTTCACATTTAGGTTACCATTTGGTTTAATAACTTCCTCTATACTTTCCTTGGCATTATTGTCTACTACATCTGTTTAATATTGTGTGAAACACGGAAAAACAAGCCCTTAAATATACACCCCTCTCTCTCTCTCTCTCTCCCTGTATATATATATATATATATATATATATATACACATACATACATACATACACACACCAATGCAAAATTGAAAAATTTGGGAGGGGGGGGGGAATGAGCTCCTCAACCTACCTCCTTCACAACCTCTATGAACATGGCAAAGGAAATGCTGCCCAATGCATGCGCATTTTACGACTTTGCATGGTAGTGCGTCGGCAAGTCCTCAACGCTCCGAGTGTTTTCTTCTTAACGCCATGATATAAAAAAAAAGTTTAGGGGAAAAAAGCAAAAGGCCTCACCATGATTTTTACACCGTGGGCCTAACGTACGCTTCGCCCTTATCGGCACACAATCACATACCTTTACTCCTTTCAGGTCTTCTTTCTCTGAAAGAGACGTGACGTGTGGTGTATGCGTTCTCTCCCCAAAGCCGAAACAGAGGACCCAACCCTTAACTTTTTTTTTCTTTCCACAGAACGCACGTGCTGCGCTGTACTTTTCCCACGCTTTTAGCTTATAAAGTGCATAAGTGCATTGTTGGAGTCAAATTTGCATACGGTAGCGATCTACTATTTACATAATCTACGAATAATAAATTTTACGGTAGCGAGAATCTAATATTTACGTAATCAAATATTTGAGGCAGAAATGCAGTTTCTTCAGCCACTTTTCTTATAAGAATAGGTTGTTGTATTGAAGAAAAACAAAAGCGTAATTGAACACACACACACACACACACACCAATGCAAAATTGAAAAATTTTGGAAGGCAATGAACTCCTCAAACCCCCTTACCCCCAGCAATGCAACTGCTTTCTAAAGCACCAATTTAATATTTATGGTCACCGATCATTAGGTAAGTAAAAAATGCATAATGAATAATGGTGCGATATCTCAGCGGAAACATGTGTGTGTGGATCTATAACTGAGCCAAGCGAGATGCAGTACAACACAGTGTAAGCACTAAGAATGTAAGGGGAACAGCCTCAGATGCACCTTCATATAGTATAAGGGGCGATGCCTTTATGACAAGAAATTTGACGGCATATGCCAAGAACAGCAAGCACAATCCCGATTAATCATTGTCAACACCATGCACTGTGCATAAATGCCTGAAAGACGGGAACTAATAAGCCACGCAGCTTATTCTAAGCACAGAAGGAGGGAATCAACATTGGCCTCTTATTATATCCAATTAACTTTTGGTGATTTGAATGCAGAAGCATCTAGTACTTTATTATAAATCATGTCACAGTGGGGGATCTCCAAATTGATTTGATCACCCTCAGTTGTACACACAGGTTTGTGTGTACATAAATGGCAACACACACACGCTAGGCTACTTTTTTTATACAATACATAAATAAAAATACTATTACTGTCAGGCCTCTGTTGTATTCACAGACAAACAAGTTAATAACAAAAAATAATGTTTTTGTTCATTGCTTCTCGCACAACTTTAGGTGTGGCACAAGTTGTCTGCGTTGAAAAAAGTTTGTGAATACGACAGAGGCCTGACAGTCATGGCATATTCATGAAAAATCTGTGCTCTGTAAAAAGAGCACCATGTATATATTCAAGCAAAGCTTGTTATGAGTTACAGATTTTGGTAGTGACAGCAGCGTTACAAGCGAAAAACGCTATGTTAATGAGTGTACAGAAATGCGGCTTTTGATGGTGCACTGGTCACATGCGTATTTACAAACGCTCTTTTCCAATAACAAATTCTTGCTTTATCATGGGCTCATCGGTGATTAGTCATTTCTGACATACCAATGTGATGTTTTATTGAGGTCACATCTCATATAACCCACACATGCATGCACGCATACGTATGCGTGAAAGTCGCAGCGAAAACTATAACATTTACTGCCACTTTTGTCTCCAACTGTCAACAACTAACCAATGACTTTGCATGGCAACAATGGCCACAGTCTGTCATACACAACTCCATTAGAAAATTTGAAAAACAGGACCACCATCACAAGATAAAAAAAACACTAAATCCGAACCTGCAAATACTACTCCCTATGTTATTCTAACGTATTCAGCCTCCCTCCCTAACATATACCTTATTCTCAGAAGGCACCACAAGTTACAATGCGCTTTCCCAGAATCTCTATGCATTGCACATTGCCCACAGATAAACAAGAAACATTTGAGATATCGTAACCTCATCTAACGTCAACACTCTTAATTCACAGGCAGATACTGTAAGAAACCTAGGTCTAAACTCTGTACAATGATGAACAAAGTGGCCACCGTCACCAGTACTGCGTCTTAATTTTCTAAGTGGACGGGGGTATAGCCGTCGAGGTGGTTCAGTTGGTAGAGCAGCAGACGCGTTATTCGAAGGTGGCAGGTTCGGTCCCCGCCCATGGCAAGTTATTTTTTTGTTCACTTTTCTTTCTTCACATTTACATAACAATTACTTCAAGTAACATCCCCCATACTTTCCTTGGCATGATTGTCAGTTACATCTCATTAAAATTCTGTTTTGGAACATCACAAAAGTTGACAAGATCGAACTCATCAACCTGCCATGGCTAGACTAAAGCCTCCGCTCAACATACCAAAGTACTAGGAGACGCCAGACGATGGTCCCTTCGACAAGTGATTTCTTTTGACGTAAAGGTGGCGAAGGTAACGTAGACACACAGTGACCCTGTCAGTCTCTTCAGTGAATACATCGGAGAAATGTTTAATTGAAACCAGACAGAGATTTTCCGCAATGACGAGACATGGGATGATATAAAGCACGACATGCACAACCACTTTGCTACAATTGATGGAGATGCCTTTCGTCTCCTCATTCCCTACTACCTGAGAGGATGGCAGACCGTCAGGAACTGCTAGGACAATAAAAAATGCCTAGGCTCCTTGGCCAACCTTAAAGAGCACCACATCATTTCAGGACCAATAGATGTTGTCTTTCCTTATGTGTAGAGACCAGAACTTCAGGCACGAAAAAATAATGTTTTAGGTGCCTATAATAGGCCCTAAAAATGCCATTTAGGCATAAATAGGCATTAAAAACTGTCATTTAGGCATATATAGCCACAATTCATAATTAATTCAGTAGCGAGCTCAGGACAAATATTCAACATCTAGAACTTCTAAGAAACAGAGTGGGCAATGTGCTTTGGGAAAGCTAAATTTATTTTTCCATGAAAAGAATTAGCAAGAACGATAATGATTTGAACAGATTTAGGTGAAAACTGAGGTAATTTGACATTGTGGGAAAGGCTATGAAGAAAGCGACAAACCAGCATCATCTCAAGAATTTCGTGCTTGAATTTTGCTTGCTTTCAGTCAATATTTGCTTTTATGTGGAAAAGAACGCTCGATGCCCACTTAAGTTAGTGAAGCGTACTTGTGACCTATCACTTTAAATGCTTTAATTGCATCCAGAATATTTGAATCAGCACCGCTCAAAACTTTAGACACTTGCTTTAGCAGATACAATCCAGTATTCTTTCTGAAGCAGATTTAAGCTTTGAGGCAACCCTGTCGGCGACCAGTCTATTGGGGATGGGGTGAACCTTTCCTGCACGTCCGAAAAAACTGGGACATCTTTAAGGGGGGACGTGGCAATGAAAATTATCTTTGTTATTTATGAAGCAAAAGGATTGAAATTCGGCATGCAGATGTCATTTGTTGTGGTGATATCATAACTGAAATCAGTTTTGAGATATCTAATATCGCTTTTGAGTTGTAACACTTCATAGGCTCTCATTGTCATCCCAAAAGTAATTAGCTAATTAGACACAACTTTGTCAAAATTTTTGCATAAGGATATTCACAAAGGTCCATTTTGCGCCGTAATGCTATTGGTTTATTTTTAATATTTAAATAAACACATTACAATGTTTTTTTTAATGTCTTAGACATTAAAAAAAAAACGT